CCCTTTCTCTTCTCCCCCCTCCATCCTCCCTCCCCCTCTCCCCTTTTCCCCCCTTCTCTGTCCTTCCTTTCATCCACACTGTAGGCCTAGGGACCTTTGGGGCTAGCTAGGGTGGTCTAGAAGAGGCCATCACATTTACTCCAAGGGTTCTCTCTCTAATGGCGCTGCGGGACAGAGTAAAGGCGTGTTTAATGGTGCCCGTACACTGTTAACGCGGTATAATGTATGCACTAATGAGACAGGTATATACGAGTTACCTTTATATTATAAGAATTTTGTCAGCAGTATAATTTGTTTTCTCGTAATGTGGAGAGGAAATTGTAGTGTGTGTGTGTGTGTGTGTCGGGAGGGTTGGCGCCCCTGTCTGGAACTTTGGCGCGAATTCCAAGGACATCTTAGTGTTGCGCCATTGGGAATACAACTGATAATGATACCTTCGCTTCCTCCAGTACACCTGTGTGAGCGTTCCTACATAATGCCCTGAGATACTTATGAGTTACCTGTAGATTATGTCAGGTTAGCGTGTAAGTGATGGGTGTAGGTGTGACAGGTGAGTGTACAGGTGGGGTGTGGGTGTACAAATAAGATGTTGGTGTACAGATGAGGTGTGGGTGTACGGGTGAGTGTACAGGTGGGGTGTGGGTGTACAAATAATATGTTGGTGTACAGATGAAGTGCTGGTGTACAGGTGAGGTGTGGGTGTACGGGTGAGTGTAGCAGGTGAAGGGGTGGGTGTACAGGTGAGGTGTGGGTGTACGGGTGAAGGGTGGGTGTAAAGGTGTGTAGAGTGTACAGGTAGGAGATGGTGTAGAGGTATGTACTGAGTCACACCAACTTCCGGATTCCTGAGGTGTTGAGGCAGCTTTGTGTCCACTATCCTACCTGGGAGCGCTCCTGATCCATGGCCCAGGTGACCAGTACATACATACATACATACATACATACATACATTGGTTGTATTCGGTCGATGGTGATAGAGATTTTATTTTCACGAGAATTTGTCACAAGGAAGAAAAATGAGTTCGTGTGTGTGTGTGTGTGTGTGTGTGTGTGTGTGTGTGTGTGTGTAGAGGTAGGGGATTTTCCCTGTCAGATCTTGTCCTCCCCGCCACACCTTGTTGGAGGGTGTGGCTAGACAACCTCCATCCACAACTGTCCGGATATGACGCAATTGCACTACACCACACCACCACCACACCACCACACCACACCACCACACCACCACCACACCACACCACACCACACCACACCACACCACACCATGACTGTAGAATGACGGGAAAAACAGAAATTTAAAGAGTGTACGAAACTAATGAAAATAAAATGTAAATAATAAGGAAATAAATTAAATAAAGGTGGAAAATTAAGTATTAAAGAGGAATTACGTAGAGAGTATAGAGACAAAATAAGATAAATAAATAAAAAGAAAATAAATAGTGTATGAAACAAGTTTTAGGAAAATATAGTAGGATAAAAGAATACGGAAATGTATTTGTGCATATCTTAATATATTTAGGCATATCTTAATTTATTTGTTCATTTTCTTAATTTCCTCAAAACACACCAAGTTTACTAGAACCGGATTATAAGTTATTACTGATATTTCCAGGTGTGCTTAATGCTATTCCCAGGTGCTCGAACGCTTACCTGAGAACAATGGCGGTGTGTGTGTGTGTGTGTGTGTGTGTGAGAGAGAGAGAGAGATTAAGTCCTCCCTCACGTACAATAGAAGGGACTCTCCTTTTTGTTTCGATTCTCTCTCTCTCTCTCTCCTTCTCCCCTCCCTTCAAACTTCTCCCCATCTCCCATTCTTCTACCTTACATCTTGTCCCTATCCTCCCCATTTCCTCCTTCCCATTCTACCCCCCCCTCCCCATTCTACCCCCCCCTCCCCTACTCCTTTGATTCTCTTTCTCCCCCTCCCCTCCTTTATTTTTTTACTGTCTTTCACCCCCTCTTCCTCCTCCTCCTCCCTCCCCCCTCTCCCTCTACCCCCCGCCTCCACCCCTCCCTCTACCCCCCCCTCCTCCTCCCTCCTCCACCCCTCCCCTCTACCCCCCCTCCCCCCCCTCCCTCCTCCATCTCACAGGAAGGCACTTTTTAATTCTATTCCTCATTACATCTTCTGGTAGTTAAGGTCATCCTAACCATCTTAACTAGTGATGTAATCGGTTAGTTCACGTAAAATATCCAAGATGGCGTCGAAATTGCCCTGAGACTATAACGTTAAAGGAATGTTTGGTCTTAAGCTTCAGTTAATAGAAAGTCTGATATTTTGGATTTGTACTTTTTTTTTTAGAACCAGACTGGTAACGTTTTCTGTTGTGGATCCGTTTAAACAGGACTCTTTAGTTAACAGGATCCGTTTAAACAGGACTCTTTAATTAACAGGATCCGTTTAAACAGGACTCTTTAGTTAACAGGATCCGTTTTAACAGGACTCTTTTAGTTAACAGGATCCGTTTAAACAGGACTCTTTAGTTAACAGGATCCGTTTAAACAGGACTCTTTAGTTAACAGGATCCGTTTAAACAGGACTCTTTAGTTAACAGGATCCGTTTAAACAGGACTCTTAGTTAACAGGATCCGTTTAAACAGGACTCTTAGTTAACAGGATCGTTTAAACAGGACTCTTTAGTTAACAGGATCCGTTTAAACAGGACTCTTAGTTAACAGGATCCGTTTAAACAGGACTCTTTAGTTAACAGGATCCGTTTAACAGGACTTTTAGTTAACAGGATCCGTTTAAACAGGACTCTTTAGTTAACAGGATCCGTTTAAACAGGACTCTTAGTTAACAGGATCCGTTTAAACAGGACTCTTTAGTTAACAGGATCCGTTTAAACAGGACTCTTTAGTTAACAGGATCCGTTTAAACAGGACTCTTTAGTTAACAGGATCCGTTAAACAGGACTCTTTAGTTAACAGGATCCGTTTAAACAGGACTCTTTAGTTAACAGGATCCGTTTAAACAGGACTCTTTAGTTAACAGGATCCGTTTAAACAGGACTCTTTAGTTAGTTGGATCCGTTTAAACAGGACTTTTAGTTAACAGGATCCGTTTAAACAGGACTCTTTAGTTAACAGGATCCGTTTAAACAGGACTCTTTAGTTAACAGGATCCGTTTAACAGGACTCTTAGTTAACAGGATTTGCTATAGTGGACCCGTTAAACAAACCATATTGCTCTAGCCTGTTTAATAGGATTCCACAGGTTACCAAGCCCCGTTTAATAGGATTCCACAGGTTACCAAGCCCCGTTTAACAGGACCCAGAGTTACCAGGCCTGCTTAACAGGACTTCCGAAGAACCATCCTCGTTTAGGCCCCCCTGCCTTGCCCTGCCGGTGTCGTGGTGTAAACAATGCATCTCCTTCTGGTTTTTATCCGACGTGCCATTACCGTAATGATTCGTATTGTTTGCATCTGTGTTGGTCCTCCTGGGCTGGGGACGTGTGTTGGAGGGAAGGGAGGTATAAGAAAGGGGGGGGTTGTATGTTTGGTGTGTGTGTGTGTGTGTGTGTGTGTGTGTGTGTGTGTGTGTGTGTGTGTGTGTGTGTGTGTGTGTGTGTGGAGTGACAAAACATGAAATCAACAGTACTGAATAACATAGCTAAACAAGAAGAAGAACAACAACAACAATAACAAAATCAGCGTAGATAAATACCTAAGAGATGACAGTAATTACCTGGGCTCTGGCTTGTCAACATGTTGCATAAGTCGACACAAGGTTGAGTGAGTGACTGTCACATGTTGCCTAAACTGTTGGTGTGTGTAGTGAAGATGATGGTGGTGGTGATAGTGGCGAGGAGAAGGTCAAGGATGTAGTGTAGGAGAGATGCTGAGGTATACATGCAGTCATACATACATACATACACACACCATCTTTTGCTTCATTCCTTTTTCATCTCATTTCCCTCTTCTCTCCATCCATCACCACCACCACCATCACCACCACCACCACCACCATCACCATCACCATCACCACCACCATCATCACCACCACCACCACCACCACCACCACCACCCACCACCACCACCACCACCATCACCACCACCACCACCAACACCATCACCACCACCTTTGCTCACATCACAACACAGTCTTTGGTAACCACTTGCTCCTCTATCATTTCTTCATTGCCTGTGACCAAGAGAGAAAGTGAGTGAGAGAGAAAGTGAGAGAGAGAAGAAGAGAGCCTGTGTGAACGAGAGAGAGAGCTCATCTTACCTTCGTTGTTGTGAGCTAAACCAAGGAGGTGCATAATGCAGGGTGACCCGAGGCTGTGGTGATGAGGTGGCCACAGCTTCTCTCCCTCCCTCCCTTCCCTCTCTCCCTCTCTCCTTCCCTCCCTCCCTCCCCTCACTTCCCGGTATCGCGCGTTATTATCACCTTCCTCTGTTTCTCTCTTCTTCCTCCTCCTCCCCTCCTCATCATCTTTTCTCACACACACACACACACACACACACACACTGTCCACTTCTTGTGCATTTCCTCACCTCACACCTCCTTCCCTCCCTCTCCTCACACCTCCTTCCCTCCCTCTCCTCTCTCCTTCTCTCCCTCTCTCCCTCCCTCTCCCTCACCACTACCCACAATACATAATGGAAGAGTTTTAGAAATAATATGTAGAAAAAGACAAAAAAAATCCTTCACCGGAAATTCTTTAATAGATTGAGTCTGACTTTTTGTTTTATCTTAGAATTAGTTTTTATGATTATTTTAGGGGGTTAGTTTAGGTTTAGGTTAGGTTAGGTTAGGTTAGGTTAGGTTTAGGTTAGGTTTAGGTTAGGTTAGGTTAGGTTAGGTTAGGTTTAGGTTAGGTTAGGTTTAGGTTAGGTTAGGTTTAGGTTAGGTTTAGGTTAGGTTAGGTTTAGGTTTAAAGTGAAATAGACCGTGAGGGGCAAGCAATATTAAGGTGCCCAGATGCGTCACCTAAGCATCCCATTCCTCATATAAGTCTTGTGTTCTTATCTCTATAATTTTCTCTCCTTCTACAGGTAAGGGATCGTGCAAGATGTTGTTCTCAGGTGAGTGTTATGGCTACATCACCTGAGGGAGGGAACACCGAGCTAACCCTCCCTCTGCAACGATGGGTGAGTATCCTATGGTAGTTAGGTGAGGTCGTGGGCCTTAGGTGTGTGGGGTTGGCAGGTCCTTGTGGTCGCCCCTGCCCCCAGCATCAACCTGAGAGTCCCCGCGGGGTGAGTGTGTCTTATCTCTGGTTCATCTCACGCTGCCGTTGCCTCTTCCTCCTCCTCCTCTCACATAATCTCGGTGTGTATACGTTCTCCTTGTGGTCTCTTCCTTCTCCTCCTTCTTCTGCGTCCTTCCCCTCCTTCTTCTGCGTCCTCCTCCTCTTGCGTCCTCCTACATCTTCCGCCTCCTGTTTCTCCTCCTGACGATTACCTTCCTCCCTTCCTTCATTATCTTCGTCGTCTTTGTATCATCTGAGTTGTTCCTTGACGTCCTAATGCTCGAAGACCTCCTCCTCGAAAACCTCCTAGACGACGTAATCTTTCTATACCTCCACAAATTAAAATTGTACCTGTGGGTCGTCACTCCGCCCCCCCCCCCCACACACACACCTGTAACACTGACGGCTGGTGTGTGTGTCCCAGTTCCTCACCTCACAGCCAAATATTTCAAAGGTATATATCGACTCTCTCTCTCTCTCTCTCTCTCTCTCTCTCTCTCTCTCTCTCTCTCTCTTATCGTTCACTTAACACTTTAAATAAAACCATTCACACTTATCACCAGTGTTGATTATGATAGAGAATTTTTAACTAATTACCGTAATTACCACCCGTAATGTAGACTCCCGTGGTAATTATCCTTGTTATTCTTTCATTGTTATTTTTGTAGTGTTGTTAAGCTAAAGTTATCCCATTGGGTGTATTCTTGTGTTATCTTTTACTAGGAATATGTTATCTTTTATCAGGACTAATTACCGTACTAATTTCTAGATATCTGTTACATAAGTTGGATTAAGTTAGGATTATCCCCCCAGATTATTGGATGTTATTATAATATCTTAACCTAACCTAACCAAACCTAACCACTTTGGCAAACTTTATACTGGCTCACCTTGACTCACCTGTAATTTACCTGTGACTCACACCTGACTCACATCTGACTCACTTTTGCCTTACCTGTAATTCATCTCGGCTCATCTGTAATTCACCTGTGACGTACCTTGACTCATCTCTGACTCACATGTGACTCACTTGAAACTCACATTGAAATAAAAACTGAAAAAAACAGGAAAAACAGAAAAACACAGGAAAAACAGAACTTATTATTTACAGGTTGTTGTTGGGGGTTGTGAATGACTTTTAATAACAGTTCCTTGAGTATGAAGGGTTGTGAATAATAATAACTTAGTCTATTATTAATCCCAATTTAGTGTGGTTGTAGGGCGTGAGGTTGTTAGTGTTGTAAGTTGTAGAATTTATGTGTTCGTACGTGTTGTTGTTTCAGAACTTGGGGAGGGGATTTGGTGTTTGTGTAATGTTGTAATGGTTGTAGGAAATTATTATTATTTATTATTATTATTATTATTATTATTATTATTATTATTATTATTACACAAAATATACTACGTCTCACAACTACGCCCTCTTAAATGTCTCCCCCCAACGACGTAGATTCAGAGGACAACAAGTAAACAACAATATGTAAACAACAACAAGTAAACAACAACAAGTAAACAACAACAAGTAAACAACTACAACAATATGTAAAACAACAACAAGTAAACAACATGTAAACAACAACAAGTAAACAACAATATGTAAACAACAACAAGTAAACAACAACAAGTAAACAACAACAAGTAAACAACTACATGCAAACAACAAGAAGTAAACAGGTAGTGAGAGGTAGGTGGAGCCAGTATCTATTGCTGTGTGTCTGCTCCACGTTGTGTGTATGTGTGTGTGTGTGTGTGTGTGTGTGTGTGTGTGTGTGTGTGTGTGTGTGTGATAGTGGTGCGTCTTTGGTCTCTTTACGGCATGTATTTTCACCTTTTTGTACACTGTAGCAGGAGAAACCCTACAAATGGCTCTAGGGTTTTTAGAGAGAGAGAGAGAGAGAGAGAGAGAGAGAGAGAGAGAGAGAGAGAGAGAGAGAGGAGAGAGAGAGAGAGAGAGAGAGAGAGAGAGAGAGAGAGAGAGAGAGCCTGATTTGAAGTATTAGGAAGGCTTTTGTTTTGGCCCTAAATCGATACTGTAGGTGATGATGGCAGGTGTTTTAGGTGGGGGTGGGCGGGTGGGGGGTGTGCTTTCTTGTCGCTTCTTCAGGTACTCGGTCGTACAGCCATAAATTGATTTATAACTATATCTGTATTTAGTACCGTAATGAAGTTGTTTTGATGATGATGATGATGGTGATGGTGGTGATGGTGGTGATGATGCAACACACCTCCATCACCATAAAAAACTTACCTTGACAAGTAAACTCGTCACTGTCAACATCTATCTTCGTGGAGTCTTTATATAACTGCTTAATTAAAACCAGACACAGGCCTTCCGTCGTGTGTGTGTGTGCGTGTGTGTGCGTGTGTGTGTGTGTGATAGTCCTCAAGAGCTGACTTGCCACCTCTGGCTAATAATAAACTCGACTCCCGGTAACCAAGACACACACACACACACACACACACACACACACACACACACAGTAACCCAAGGATCGCGGGAATGACATACAGACACAGGCCCTCTAATAGGTTAGGTTAGGTTAGGTTAGGTTAAACCCTCACCACGAACCACCATACTAGAAACCTTACCTGTATACCTTCCCTTCATTACCACCAACACTAATACTGTCACACCTGAGGAAACACCTGTAACATCTAACTCATTTTACTCACATTTACTCTATACCCCCCATCCCCCCCCCACTCCCCTCCTTCTCCTCTCCTGTTCCCCCTTCCTTCCCCTTCTCTTCCCTCCCCCCTCACATCTTAACTAACTCGTAACCTTAATCATAAACTGAAGAGGTAAAACACCGGGTAAAACTTGCCTCCTCGACACACCATTAATGAGGGTATATTCAGCAGGTGTCAGTGGCTGGTAAACAATGGTGTGTGTGTGTGTGTGTGTGGTAACAAGACTAGTGCACTCAGCCCCATAGAAAACCCGAATCAGTATTTTATCCTAATGATCTGACCTGGATTTGACCTGGATGATAAAGCCAGGAAATTAACCTTAAAAAAAATGACCTAATGTATCAGGTTGTAAAATATGAAGCTCCTCCCACTGTCACATTAACCAATCATAAGCCTCGGTGCGTTCAGGCCAGACAAAGGGGCGTGACCTTCAATAGACTAACTTTGTTTGGGCTTCATCGATTGTCACACAGGAAGGTTAGGTTAGGTTAGGTTAGGTTAGGTTGTCACACAGGAAGATTCACTTGTATGGGAGGATGGGTTCACTCTCTCAGGTTCACTTTATGGGAAGGTGACCCGGGTATCACATAGGTCACGGAAGGTCATATGTGTGGTGACCTGTTGCAGAGGTGAAAATATTGGACCGTGGGATAATGGGTGGTGAAATGATGCATATGGCGGGGGGGGGGGTTACTGGCCCATCCCTAGTGACAGTAACTGGTCGCCGCAGCTGCACACACACACACACACACAAGATGAGAACAAGAGTTTTTATCAACCGTGTGTGTGTGTGTGTGTGGGTTGGAACAGTGTGCGTGCTAGCATATGGTATGGCCACAGTATGCGAACCACAGCTCACACGGATGTAGAGGTGGGCGGTGGCTGAGCTGACAGACAAGATTCTTTCATTACAGTAATATGATGTTTCTCTTACCACTGTAGAGGGGCGAATACACACACACACACACACACACACACACACGAGATAAAAGATCCTTATTTAGTGAAGATATGAAGCTAATGAAGGGTGTGTGTGTGTGTGTGTGTTTGTGTGTGTGTGTGTGTGTGTGCACCTTCACCTAGACACATGAGGGTACCAACAGGTCAGGAGGTTCCCCATAACAAGGCTTTTTGGACGAAGCACCCAAGGAGGAGGGAGGAGGAGAATGAGAGGAGGAAGAGGAATGAGGGTTGAAGAAGAGGAGGAGGAGGGGATGGTGTTAGTTGTACAGTATTGTATGTGTGGTGATAGGAAGGGGTGGTGTGGGGGAGAGAGGAAGGGGTGAAGGAAGGAGGGGGAAGTAGGAATAGAGGAGCGAAGGAAGGAAGGAGGAGTGGTTGGTTAATGGGTACAGCAGCAGGAGATGGTTGCCATGGGAACTAAGTGATAGACCATCTTGTTGACAAAGGCGCATATCTCACTTCCGGTATATCAACTAATATTATTTCCTGGGACATACCAATGTATCTGTGTGTGTTTTTAAAGGGAGAGAAATATGTTGAGGTTTGGGTGTGTGTGTGTGTGTGTGTGTGTGTGTGTGTGTGTGTGTGTGTGTAGCTTGAGTCTGTGTGTGTGTGTGTGTTTGTATCCATGTAGCCCTAGTCAAAATCGTACGTAGTGTGTGTTTATAATGTTTTCGGTGTTAAGGAAGTCCACCAAGGTGATTAAAGTATACCTGTTGGTGCAAGAAAGGTGATAAAGGTGAGGTGTTGGAACGACCACAGGTGTTGGCACGCAGGTACACCACCATCACCAACACCACAACTACCACCACTATCACCACCACTAACTTTACCACAGAGAGCAGGTGAGGCATGAGTTTATTTACCTGGATACCTATACTTTTACCTTTACCTGTACATACATACATACATACATACATACATACATACATACATACATACATACATACATACATACTATATGTCTTATTTTAAAAGTCACTTATGTTATTTGTATATTATTTGTAATTCGAAACCCATTCCCCAAATATGTAACTGTATATTTTCAGCCTTCTGGCTGCCAAGCTCTTTCAATAAACTGTTAATTATTATTATTATTATATTATTACATACATACATATATATATATATATTTATACATACACACACATACATACATACATATGTATCAGGGATATTAATAGACAGATATAAAAAAATATTCT